GCAGAATGCTGATTGTTAGAATTTTTTCTTTTTTTAGCCTCGTTATAATCAGGCTAAGTCTGAATAGATTAATTTTTCTTTTAATTCAAATTTTTTCTCCATCATGAAAAAAGATTTGTATGTTTTCCATTTTCATGTGTTTCTTGTATTTCCAACCCTTGTTACAATATTGTTACAGATTGCGTAGTTTCAAAATGTTCCAGTTATTAATTTCTTTTTCATTAGATTAACCTTATTTTCCAAATTAAATTACTTATAACAGTTTGAGACATATAGCAATTTTAGTAAATGTAACATCAAGATAGTGTAGTTGCAAAATGCTGATTATATGCATTAGGCTATGCCTAAATTGACTTTATGAAGAAAAAAATCTTTTTTTTTTATTTATTTATTTATATATATATATATATATATATTTTTATCAGATAAACACATTTTTGAATGTTTTCCATTCTCTGTCTGTTCATGCTAATTAGTAGCATTTCTTAAGCCTGAGTTGGCCTCATGTCAAATTATTATATTTTTTTGCCATCAGATAGACAATATTATATTGGTGCAGTATGCTGATTATTAGCATTCTTTTGCGTATTCCATGCAAGTTGGCCTCATGTCAAATTATAAAAATTTTTGTCGTCAGGTGGACTTTTTTTATTAGTTCGATTACCAATTGCATTAGAATTTGTTTATATCAGGTTGAGATTGTTTTAGTTCAGATTTCTGACTAGTTTGTTTAGGCTGAAAATGAGTAGACTAAAAAAATTAGTAATTTTTTCAATCAGATGAACAGACTTTGGTATATTTTCCATTGTCAGTCTGTTCTTGCTGCTTACTTCCCTTTATTTCAATATTATAATGGCGCAGCTGCTGATTATTTGCATATTCGTAGACATGAGTTTGCCTCATGTAAAATTGTTATATATATTGTCAATAGATTAACCTTCTTGTACATGAGTTAACTTATCAGTTGCATTAGTATTTTTAAATATCACATCGAGATTGTATAGGTTAAAAATGCCGAACTTTTTCATAAGGCTAACCCTGTATTTATTTTTAAATTTATTTTTGTTTTTTTCTCCATCAGATGATTATTAGAATTTTTTTGAGCATAAGTTGGCCTTGTGTCAGGTTATTATTTATTTTTTTCCTGTCAGATAGGCCTTCCCCTCTTCAAGTTGAATAATCAGTTGCCTTAGAATTTTTAAATATTTTGTCAAAATTGTATAGGTTCAAAATGCTGATTCCTTTCATTATGCTAAACTAAATTGACTTTCTTAAAAAAAAGTTTTTAATTCTTTTAGAGTTGTTGATTCTTAGAACTTAACTCATCCTCTACGTGCCTTGGGCACTTAAGGCCTCTAGCATATCCCTCCAACGCCTCCTGTCTTTAGCAATAGATCTTGCTTCCTCCCAGCCAGATATTCCACATTCTTTTAATTCGCCCAAAAACATGCGCTGGATGGTAAGTCTGGGTCTTCAATTANCTATTTTCTTCAAAAGCGTTGAACTATTGAAATTCTCTTTGTGGTATACCTATCTCCACGGATATCCGTCAATTTGATGAGATCGTAATTTAGACAAAATTTTGATTAAACATGCAAGCATCACATCAATAATAAATAGGAATGTACCCACAATACTCCGATCCGTTATCTCAAATGAAACAAGCGATAAACAACTGTTGCCGATAAGCAATAATAGAAAGAACAAACGCAGAATGTCAATTGATGTCAGATTTTGAAGGTTTTAGTTGCTTAGTTCGAGTACTGAAAAATAAAATACTAGAATATTTCATAAATATGTACCCCATATTTTAATTTCTTTTCTTATAGTATATAATTACATTGCTTTTTAAGTGCAGAGATGCCAACTGCTCCGGACGCGACAAAATAATTAAAAAACGGTAAATAACTACTAAGTAAACTTTGCAAATGTTTGACTATTTTTGCTTGTTTTTTAAAAGGTTTAGCATAATATATCTGAATATTAGAAATGGTAGAAATCACATAAATCTCGGTGCGCTGCCGCGAAGCGGCATTAACCGATTCATCTGTAGTAATAAATCGATGATGAGGAGTTCGAGAGGGGGTTCGTGTGAGTCGGCTGGGGCTGAGTGTATTTCGTGTGCTAGGGCAACATATCCCTAAGGAAAAAGGCAGTGATGGGGCTAAATTTAGTGTTGTCGTCAATTAGTTCTATATCAAGGAGTGAATTAAAATTGCTGGTGGTACAGGTTTTTGCTTCATCGTAGAAATTTTTATTTAAATTTATTATATAGACGTTGATGTCATCAATTTTAAGATCCCTTTTTATACTATTATTGCTAATGCATTTAGGTGCGCCGACGTAAAGAAGTGTGACATTGTGTCTCTATATTTCTTAAAGCTACTAGAAATGTAAAAAGTGGTAGACGCTCAATTCATATTTATTTATTTATTCTCTATTTAGTTATACTATCGTAACTACCACTGTGATTTACATTACAATTGATTAATATTTAAATAAAAAATATTCTATGCATTCAATTTCAATAGAAAACTGAAGAAATTTGTTAGAAAAATAAAAAATAATTAATGTAAAATTTTAATATCTTTTAATAAAACATTAGTTGCCACTTTTTCCATTTTTAGTTGCCTGTAGCAACAATGGCTAGATGATTTAAGACTGTGCAGAAGCTCCAGCGAGTCTTGAAATTTTTAAAAAGTGGTAACGAAAATAAAATAAATGTCGATATTTTAATTTCTGCGTAACCACCACTAAAAATTGTATTCCGAAGAGAGTAAATATGCAGGAAAATTCCAGCTAGCTAAACCACTTAATGATAAAGTGGTATATTAAAATAAGAAATATGTTCTAGCATTAGCCTAAATTTACTACCTCTACTAAAATGTTTCAACGAATACGGGAACCTCGACAAGACAATCTAACACGAAGTTCCAAAGTTGCGAGAGTTTATTATACATTTAACACAGGGCTGTCAACTTTCGGCTCTTTCTGCAAAAAATTATTCTAGAAAGGAACTGTCCTAAATATATGACGCTGGGCGTTAACCGGTTAAAAGTTCATATGCAACGCCACTTAGTTCCAGCTCTTTCCTGTGAAGCTTTTAAAATGATGACAAAATTACTTGAGACTTTTATTAGTTTTTAAAACTTTAAATGTCTCCCAGTCTATAAAATATTTTGCAAAAAGCTTAGTAGTAGGCAGGCCTGTAAACATGCTTTTAACATGTGCAGTGAGCAAAATTAAGAACTGCCGCTATGAATAACTTTTGATCTAATGATTGAATCTTCACGTTCTAGGACTCAATCTTATTTTCTCAAGAGTATGACCGCAAATAAATTAATAATTAGTAATAAAATAATAAATTAATTAATTAGTGCAGACGATATTTAAGTTACGAAATCAGATTCAAAAACGCGCTCTCTCAGGATAAACATGCCTTTTTTTAAGGCAGGTTTGGAATTCGGAATACATGAGTATACGTAATTCTCGACAGATATAGGGGGTTGTCGGTATCTGGGAAATATGGTTCCCATAGTTTGGTTAGGAGAGCGATTTGCGTATTTCGCGATATCTCGATAAATTTTATGCGAATTTAAAACTTTTTGCTCACAATTATAAAATTTGTTTATCTGAAGTCAATTCCATGCAAAATATACTTACTTTACTTATCCTCTACGTGCCTTGGGCACTTAAGGCCTCTAGCATATCCCTCCAACGCCTCCTGTCTTCAGCAATAGATCTTGCTTCCTCCCAGCCAGATATTCCACATTCTTTTAATTCTCCCAAAAGCATGCGCTGGATAGTAAGTCTGGGTCTTCCTCTTGTTCTCTTACCATCAGGGGCCCATGTAAGCGCAACAGATGAAATTTTTTCTTTGGGCATTCTAAGGATATGTCCGAGCCAGCTCCATCTTCGTTTTTTAATTTCATCTTCGATTGTTTTTATTTTAGCTTTCTTTAATAGATTTTGATTTGATACTTTGTAAGGCCAGAAAATTTTAAAAATAAATCTTAAACATTTGTTTTGAAAGGTTTCTAATTTTTGTATTTCGATCTTAGTCTGTTTCCAGGTTTCTGCGCCATATAATAGTACTGCTCTAACAATAGCTTTGTAAACAACTATTTTTGTCTTTATTTCAATATTTGACTCTCTCCAAAATTTATGTAATCCCTTAAAACATGTTCTTGCTTTGATTATTCTCTGTCTAATATCTTCACTACTTCCACCTTTTTTTATCTACAATAGAACCTAAATAGCTAAATGACTCTATGTCATCTATTTCGCTATTTTCGATTTTAATTTTGTCATTTTTCTTTTGATTTATTCTCATTACTTTAGTTTTCTTCTTGTTCATGAATAAACCTACACTATTTGAATATTTGTTGAATTTTTCTGTTTTAAGTTGAAGGTCTGTACATTTGGATGAAATAAGTACGATGTCATCAGCAAAATCAAGGTCTTCTAAAGTAGTTGTGAAATTCCACCTTATTCCTCTTTTTTCATCTTTCAAGCTGTTTCGCATAAACCAGTCTATCACCAGTATAAATAAAAATCCCGATAAAACACATCCCTGTCTCACGCCTGTTTTTACTAAAAAGAATTCAGTTAATTCTCCATTTACTTCTATACATGCTTTGCTGTTATCATACATATCTTTGATTATGTTAATATATTTTTCTGGTATATTATAAAGTGATAAAATTTCCCATAATTTCTCTCTCTTAACTGAATCAAAGGCTTTACTGAAATCAATAAAGTTTAAATATAAAGAGGTGTTAAATTCTAAGCTTTGCTCAATGATATTTAAGTGTGAAGATTTGCTGCATTGTTCCACTTCCACTGCGGAAACCTGCCTGTTCTTCTCTTAAAATTCCATAAATTTCATGTTTTAGACTATTCAAAATTATTCTTCCAAATATTTTTCCCGGTATGGAAAGTAGGCTAATGCCCCTCCAATTTTCGCATTTTGTTAGATCGCCTTTCTTGGGAATTTTCACTATTATTGCTTCTTTCCATTGTTCTGGTATTCTTTCATTTCTCCAGATTTCATTGAAGAGCTTTTGCAACTGTCTTGTAGAGGTTTCAAAGTCTGCCTTAAGCATCTCTGCCACGATTCCGTCTCTCCCTGCAGCCTTCTTTGGTTTTGTGGCCCTCAGCGAGATATCTTCCAAAGAAAAATCTACAGTAGATGCTACATTTAATGTAACATTTGGGAGTTGCTCAGAATTTTCAACATGGTGTGCGTTAAGCGTATCTTCAAAATATTTTCTCCATCTTTCTTCAATCCTCTTATCCGTAGTAAGTAACTTATTGTTTTTGTCTCTTCCTGCACATTGCGAATTTCGTTTATTTCCTTTTATTTGTTTCACTTTCTGATAGAAAGTACTTATTTGTCCTTTTTGCGCTGCATCTTGAGCCTCAGTGGCAAGGTCTGTGAAATATTTCCTTTTGTCTTTTCTGGCTGACTTTTTTACTGCTCTATCAATTTGACTATACTGCTGTCTATACCGATTAAATAATTTTTCAGACTTTGTAGTTTCCATCTGTATTTTCTTTTTCCTTCTGCTTTCAATATGTATTAATGTTTCTCCCGTAATCCATTCTTTGCTTTTCTTTCCTTTCTTTTTACCCAACACTTTTTCTGCTACGTCGCAATAAATGTTTTTGATATGTTCCCAAGTCTCTTCAACTTTTTCTTTCACCTCATTTTCTGATTGCTCAGTGTTGCCATGATTTTCTTCTTCCTTTAACAGCTCAAATCTGTTTTTCAACTCGATTGAAAATTCTTGTCTGCACTCTTTGGCTTTTAACTTAGCAATGTCATAGCTTATTCTTTTATGTCCCGTCTTCTTTGGTGATCTTCTTAATTTTAGTTTTAATATTGCAAGAATCAAGTAGTGATCTGATCCAACGTCGGCACCTCTCATCGCTCTTACGTCTCTTAGTGAGCTCCTGAACTTGTTATTAATTGCAATATGATCTATCTGATTCTTTGTTCTTCCGTCTGGTGAGGTCCATGTACATTTATGTATCTCTCTCTGCTTGAATCTACTCCCACCTATGTTTAAACTATTTAGATCGCACAGGGAAACAAACAGTTCTCCATTTTCGTTCCTCTCGCCCGGTGATTCGTTTCCCATGGAGGTTTCATCATCACTAATCCGTTTTCCAACCTTAGCATTAAGGTCTCCCATAAGAATTATCATGTCATGTTTTGGAACTCGATTTAAAACACATTGTTGTTGATCATAAAATGTCTCCTTTTCCTCCTCATCAGCATCATTCATTGGTGCATGCACTTGAATAATTGATAGTTTAATATATTTTGAATAAAATCGTGCTCTTAAAATTCTTTCACTGATTGGTTCCCATTCCAAAAGACTCTTCGCTGTTTCTTTATTAATGATTAGCGCCCCGCCTCTTTCGTGCTTTTCTTCAGCTCCTGAGTACAAAATGATTTGTTCACTTCCAGTTTTAATCTTGCCAAAACCTGTCCATCTAAGTTCTGATATTCCCAAGATATCCAATTGGTATCTATCCATTTCCATTGATACCTGTCTACTTTTTCCACATTGGTACCACATTGGTTAACAGCTGCTCTGCTTAGCACATCCCCGTGCTTCATTCGTTCTCCTGATCAGTGTCGGATCTCAAAATCTTATTCTTGCATTGGTTAATCCATCTTGCCATTTGAGGATTTGATGACTTTTTTAGCGTTTAAATACACTATTGCTCGACAGTCTGCAACGATAGTAAACTTTCTTCATATCACGTCCTGTCTTAATCTGTCCATCTTAACTGTCTTAATCTGATGTCCACCCGCACAATTGACATCAACTCTAATTTACTTGAATGGTATTTTTTTTCTTCTGTATCGGTAGTTTTCTTGCTAACACAATACACTATTCTCCCATTCTTTTAACCGTCTCGTTGAAACAGTTTCTGTATCATTTCAATCCATGTTGTAGCTGAAATCGAGATATCATCTAAGTAACAGTGTACTTTTTTATTGAACAATGGGCCTAAAACAAGATTCATTCTCTCAAATCGACCAATATCAACCGGAAGTTATGAAAGCCGTTTTCAATTTTGCTTCTTCTGTTAATGGCAATTGTAGATATCCACTTGCTAAATTTAAAGTCGTGTAAAACTGGCACCCTCCAAGACATTCTAAAATAATATAAATTTTTGGTAAAGGAAATTTGTCCTTAACAAGTTCAATTTCCTAAAATCTGTAACTAATCGTCGTTCTCCTGTATTTTTCTTGACTAATAGTACAGGACTGGAATTTGGAGATCTTGTGGATCTTTTGGAATTTGATTCCATACTTCTTTCATTCAGAAAATTTCTTTTATTTGTTTTCTTTCTTTGGAATGGTTTTTTAAAAATCGGCTTACTGCCCTCTACTTCTTTAATGTCCATTTTGCATAAATTCTTTCAGCCTAACTGACTTATGTTTATAGCAAAACAGTCACGATTAGGACTGAGTTATGAATCGATGTATCGCGACATATCGATTTAACGCCTGTCTCGGCAAGCCGATACAGCGAATATCGTTCCTGCATCAGAAATCTGATTTAAGCCGCCGAGTAAAGAAGGCGAACGATATAGCGATACAAGGCACGCAAGGATCTCTTACGTTCCGATGCCAACTCGCGCTGTGTTGAAACGGCCTTGGTTGATGAGCGGTAAAATCAGAATCAGTTTTCATAACATGTATCGTGATCTTGCATGTTCGTTATCGCAACTCTTTTTTTCTTTTTTTTTTCTTCTTTGTTGTGACCTTATAGCGTTTCTTGTATATTATTTTCCGTGGGACTGACTTTGTGATCGCCGTCGTTACCTTGTTCTGAACGAAATCTATTATTGAAAAGAATATATAGAGAAGTGTTTTTTAATTAATTAGGTAATTTAAAAAAAAAAAAAAATTATTTTATTTTAAATGTGAAAATTAATTTTGATATTATATGTTTAATTAATTTTTTACATTTTCGAATTTGTAACAATCGGAAATCTAATTTAAGGTGCCCATAAAGAATTAAATTAAAAAGTAATTAATCTGTTAGGCTATTTTTTACTTTATTTTAATTTAATGGGTTTTTATTGCTGATTTTGAATTTATAAATCTTTAGTGTTTTTTTTTTTTTTAATTGTCCTCCAATATTGTCTGTTAAATATATTATTTATAAAGGTATTTGTTTTTATTTTTAAGAAATTAAACCTTACTTTGTTATTTCGTTCAGAATTCGCTAATTATTCAATTTAACTTTATTATTTATGTGAAATAATAATGATAAAAAATAGTGTTTTAAATTTTTTTTTTTTTTAAATTTATTTAGCATTTTGTTTTAAGCATACAAATAATTTTTAACGCAATTATTTTTTAAATTTTATTTGTATATTGTTAGCTTATTGTTATTCTATATTGTGTATGCAAAACTGACAGTGCATCATGATATAAAATTTCTTATATCGCCCAGTCCTAGTCACGATATTTATTTAATGACTTAAAAGTTCAAATCTTTTAATATTTTCTAAGGATTTATCAAAATTAATGCCTTTCATTAAAATGGGAGATTTCTTATTGTTAATTTTATTTACTTCAACTTTTTCACTATCAATTTCCACTTTATTAGGCAGCATTAAGCTTTCCTCCCTTACCTCCATTCCCCTACCTAAGCACTAATCTTTCTTAATTTTTAACTTAAATTCTGTCTTATTTACTACTGGTAAAATCATTTCACCATTAACTTTACCTCAAGAATTGAATCCAAATTCTGGCCTATACTTTTTAACAATCAAGTTTTTGCTTTCGTCGACTTTTGCCCTAATTAAATTAATTGATTTACTTTGGACTTCTACTTTGTTTATTGTTTTCAATTTAACCGCATTTTTATTCATATCTACTTGAATTTCAGAAAAAACGTCATTATTTACATATCCAAATTCTAAATGAGCAAAAGTAATGTAGGGTGAGTCTAGCCATGTTCTTCTTAAAATTAAATCACACGGTTGTGAATCATCCTTAACAATTAATAAAGTAATAGGTTTCCCTACTACGTCATCCACCAAAAAATATTTACTACAGCTTTACCTATAGCTTTCTTAACTGGATTATTTTGATTATCGAAAACAAATAAATCACTGTTATCTGGTTTCAAGTCCAGACTCATTTTTAAAGTGATACTTTCCTTCAAAATACAACTATTACTTCCTGAATCAATCAAAGACGTCATTTTATTACCATAAATGTAAGCATCTTTCAAATAATTCGTAGGCCCCAATGATGCGCTTGAATCCGAGTTGTTTTGACTAACAGATAAATTATTCCCTTCTCGCCTTTGTTTGGTTTCAAATTTACACGTTCGAAGAGAATGGCCTTGCTTTTAACATTTCTTACAATAAGCAATGGTTTTAGACGCCAGTCAGTCACGAGATATATGTCATTACAGTTGAAACATTTATGTTCCCCTTTTTCACTTCGAATATCCGATCTTACATACTTTTTTTGAAATTATGCTTTTATTTTCACTAAACGGAATTGATTTCTTTTCCGCCTGAAATTTATCACCACGAGAATAAAAATTTTATGCGTTTCTTAATTTCTGACTGTTTATAGATCGCACATTATCATAATTATCTAATTTATCTGCTAATTGATCTGGTTTATTAAATTTAGAAATTTAAATCTAAACTTATCAGCGCTTAATTTATATCTCTTGAGCAATAATGATTTCACATACTTATAATTATTTGCATTATCTTTGTTTTCACGCGCGATTAGTTGCTTATTTCCATAAGGGAGTAGTCCCAATAATTGTGATACCCAATACTCTTCATTTAAACCAATACGCTGTTCAAATAACACTAAATGAAAATTTATGTCTCCGTTTTTGATCTTCTATTCGTGCATTAACTTTCTATAATCTGTGTATACGTTTTTACCTTCCTTCTTTACTACTTAAATCCGAAAAGTTTGTGTTTCGAGCCCTACTTTCTACGCTTGGACATTCGAGATCGTACTTCCGGTCCGCCAATGTTATGGCTGCTATTTCTGATGCAGCTCTATCTTCCCAAGTTCAACTTAGTAAACTCTTCATCGTATGATTCCGATTCTGTTTAAATAAATTATTTTAGCATATTCTGGTACCGAAAGAACTAACTCTGATGCTAATTCTATTAAATCGACTTATTTTGCCTTCCCTCAACTGGCCATACTTTGTAAATTATGATACTTAATACATCGAAATACTTTATCAATAACGAAACTTCAGTTCTTTCACCCTCGAAAACGAAGTTAAGAAAATACTTTATACTTATAATTCTCGAAATCGTTTACTACTTAAAAATACGTTTTTTATATAATATTATACAATTGAATAGTTCAAACTGAATAATTAAAAATCGCCTACCTGATAGAGTTGCAGGTAATCCCGGTTCTGAATTCTTGCAATACCACTTCTTAATTATTGTAACTATAACATTATGTCATGTGTCGAGTAGCTCGGTTGGGGGGAGGAGGAAGTAATAGTTTGATGCCTATAACATACTAATAATTTTATTTACAAGAACTATATTTACAGACATTAAGTTGTTACATAGTTTAGCACATCATGCTTACTTGTTGCGCACTCCTACACTCCCTGTTACTAACTCATCTGTGTATCTCCACATATTTACTACTGCCATCTAGTGGCCAATCATTTTCTTTTAAATCTAAATAAAATTAAAGCTCGCAAGGGAAGGTTTTCTATCTTCCAACTATGTGCGATTTTGAATAAATAAAAACGAAGTAATTTGGAGACATCACAACATTTAATATACACAGTTATTTACAAGTTAATATAAAATCCATTAATACTTTTACATCCCAATGTCTGTAACGTAAAGATAGTATTTATTATTGAGTTGTCTTAGCAACCCGTTGTTTTTATTTTTTATGAAACTAAATTTAAATACTTGTTACGTTATTGCTCTTGCTCACCACAGCAACCCCCCTCCCCCCCCAGTGAGTTACTCGAACGATGAAGAACCTCTTGTGTAACGTTTCCATTGCTTTGCTCTGTTGCAGTTTTTTAACTTGTAGACAATGAAATATGTCCGAAATTCTTTTCAACCAGTAAAGTTTTGAAGTCTTTTTCAAATTTTTGATTGTATCAACAATCAACAGTCTTTGTGCAGAAAATTTTTGGATATGTCTGAAGTTCTGAAACCAGTCATATCAACTGTTAATTTTATCAGATCTTTTGGGCTGAATCACCGACAATTCCAACAAATGACTTACCTTATCATACTGCCGTACGTTGACTCAGTTGTGGGAAAGTCTTTCAGCGCTTTTTTGAAATTCGAGCAGTGATCGAAATTTTTTTTAATGAAAAGCATCGCCCTCTCGCATTTGACAAAACATGTGAACGAACTGAATTTGAGATTGTAAGGAGAAAATCAGCATCTTCCTGATTTATACACTAATATCAAATCATTCCGGAAGAAATTGATACTGTTTCAATCACAACTACGAAGTAAATGTTTTTCACATTTTAAAACATGTGAAATATTCAGCCACACCACTGAGACTGAGTTTCCT